GGCCCTTTTGTGTGTGTGTTTTGCAGGCTTGTACAGGAGTATCTGCCCCCCGCTGGCTCACGGACACCCTGCACAAAACAAGCTGCATTCTTCACATTCCCGTAACCTGAAGTGGAGTGAGATATGACTGCATACAGCGCGTGTAACCTGGAGCTCTATATGAGCCTGGGATTCTGTGAACACGTCATTCTGTACCGTAAACCTGAGCTCAAATACAATATGATGTCATAGCACCGCTGGCACACTTGCAGGCAACATGAAATCAAAATTTACCCAATTTACTTTCTCAGTAACATTCCTGGTCCTACTGTACATGATTGATTAGTCCATGTTATTCCAAAGAAAGAAAATGTTAGTCTTTGTAATCATTCATCAAATGTTCCACCTCTAAAACGACTTTCCTTTTCATTGACATCATGAATCCCTCTTACTTTTTCATCCTCTTTCCTCTAACAATGTATATATATATGTGCATATATATACATATATATTCCCTCAAAAAACTATATATGTGTGTATTTATGTATGTGTGTGTGTGTGTGTGTGTATATAAAAAAGATGGTTCTTTAAAGGTTCTTTACATGCAGTAATGGTTTTATTTAGAACCATAGCATTCTGAAGAACCCTTTCATGCTGAAATGATTCTTTGTGTCAAGAGTTTAGGGTTCTTTATTCCCGCCCTTTTGTTTTTCAAATCTGTAACTGACAAAGCACCTCATAGTGATTTTCTGGAGTTCAGTGATCCAACTAACGTTTTTACTTCTTTATGTATTTATTCATGTTCAATGTCAATTGTCATTCATTAATGTATTCAGCTAATAACTGTTGTTAAGAGCACTGACAATTTTGCATGTCAATAAAAACATAATTCACACAACATGCTGCTGTTGTTGTTACTGTTGTTGTTGTTTTACTGTAAAACCTTAACCGAGGCTACACTCCAAGATGCCTCATTACTGATTTTCTGGAGCTCATTTAACTTTAAAAATGTAACTGGCTTCCAAACAAACATGTTCTTATCTTTTTTTTTTTTTTGTCACATAAGTGTGTGCAGCTCTGCTAAGCTGTGGAAACTTCTCTCCTCTTCTCCACCAAGTAAGTAAAAGAGACAATAAATTAATAATTAATATTGTTAGGTTTGGGTTTATGTAACATACCCAGTCACAAAAATGCAGAGAAAAATCGCTACTTAATCACACCAAAATGATGGACTTAAAGACATCATATTAATTGGATTGGGATTGTTTCACGGAAAGTTGGTTTTCATCACATCTATTTTTTGTTCTTATTTTGTGTTTTACTTCTTTATGTATT